CCTCTGGGCTTGTTATGAGAACTAAATGAATTGATGAATGTCCAGTGTTAAGCAGAGAGACAAGGACATGACAGCGTTTGATCAAATCCAGCTGTTCTCATCATTGTCAGGTTATCAGTTGCTTCTCATCAGCTGAGGCTCCTCCTACTTCTGACACACATGAAGGACTGCCGGCTGTGGCCCAGGCACTAACTTTCTTGTCACACTTCCACGCGCTGAGGGGGCCCAAGGAGGGCTGTGTGTCTCCAGGGTCAGTTACCTGCAAGTGGGGACACGGTCAGGGCCGTGACAGAGGATCCCAGCAGGTAGGAGCCATTCAGTGTCCCCAGCCAGGACCCCAGCGCAGATGCGGCCGGGCCCAGGGCAGCCTTGGATGACAGGGTGAGTCCTGAGGAAGAGCAGAGGCTGAGTGCACAGGGGTCAGAGGTCGGGCAGTGGTTGGGGCTGCGTCCCCCTTTCCACGCTGTCTGTGCTGGCAGAGGTGGGAGGCCCCTGGGAGTCCACCGCAGGAGAGAGAGAGGTACATGGTGGTGATGCTCATGGGAGCACTTTGCAGCAGTTGGAAACAAGGATCAGACGCTCACCTGGCAACACTGAGGGATCTCAAAAACATTGTTCCCCAGTGAAAAAAGCAGTGGAAGGAGACACGCAACCTACTATTCCCTGTGCAAATTCAACACACGCAGACAAAATAAAATATCTATTCTGTAGAAATGCATATGCAAAACAGATAGGCATTAAACATATTAGAAAGGTAGACTTTGAGGGAGGGGGAAATTGGGGGCAAAAGGGAAGATAAATAGCGAGGATATATAAACATGACAAATGAAGAACACGGGCCTGAACTGAGGAGTTGTGTTGGAATCAACGCTCTGGATCTGAGATCCAACAGGACACACTGCCAGGAAAGGCTGGGTGGACGTGGAGGTAAAAACCTCCCGGAGGGGAATTCTGGGTGTGAATCAGGGAAATGGAAGCCAGAGAGGGGGACCCAGCCAGAGAGAGGTCCCCTCAGTCTAGGTGGGAGGGGCCCGGACCCCTGAGAGAGAAAGCCAGGGCAGACCCCCAGGGGGAGCTCAGGGCCAGGGGGAGCGCTGCAGGTGATGTCACCCTCTCCCCTTCCACAGGCCCCTGAGCAGGACCCTGTGCCCTCCCCAGCCACCTCCTCGCCCCCACAGCCTCTCCCAGGAACTCTCACCCACTGATGGAAGTCCAGCCAGGACACGGCCAGAGGCCGCCCCGCCCGCTGTGGCCAGGCTCGCTGCTGACACTATCCTGGAGGCCAGGGAAGAGGCTAAGATGCCCGCCTGGGCTAATTCCATGGCGCAGAAGGTCACGGGCACACCAGCTCAGCTCAGGAAATGCCTAAGATCCACGAGGTATTAGCTCCCTGGTGAACCAATGGGTTGGGGCTGGCTTCTGGCCGCTCCTCAGCCCTATCAGATCGCAGGAAACTAAACACCTCCTGGGCTGCAGCGGGTCCCACTATCCCCACCCCAACCAGAGGAGGTCTGCACTCCTGGTCAGCCCTCCAAACCTGGGCAGCCCTCCCTTCTCTGGGCCCCAGCAGTGTGCAATGGCAGGTGAGGCAGCCTGCCCTTTC